TTGAGGTGGCTGATATGATTTGTACCCTCTATTTCTTTGTTTCCTTGCTTTTTTTTTTTTTTTTTTTTTTTTGTGATTTCTGCCTATAAACCAAAACATGGATCCTATTTCACAAAGATCAGCACAGGGTAGAACTATTAAACCCCTCCCTCCCAAAAACAAAGGTTCTGAGAGCTTGGTTTTTCACAGCAATCATTTGCATGCATGTTTTCAGGTTTTTAAATACTAACTGTGCCAGAGAATCAAAGCACTAGCATTAAGAAGTAGCACCAAGCATGCAGCCTTCTTTCCCCAAAGCTAGCAGTACCAAAAGATCACCGTTAGTCTGGATTGCTGCAAGGGTGTCGCAGCAATGTCTGTGCAAGAAAAAAAAAAAAAACTAACCAAAACCAAAATACACCAAGGAAAAGTTAAATCCCACATTCTGCTCCTGTGATGAGCAGGCCTATCTCTTTTTTTCTGCATGTAGCTTACTTGTTTGCTATGGACCATAGTAGCAATGCTAACTTCGGCACCGAAGAGAAAAAAATTTCCATATGTATACACATACATGTGTATAAATATATGTATTTTAAGTTCTTAAAAGTCTTCTTAGCTGTGTAGTAAGGTTGCACGGTGCCTAAAGTAGAGTTTTAAAAGCATCTGGACAGACAAAGACATCGAAATGCCTGGGAGGATCTCAGCCTTTGATACTTTGGAAAAGCTTCCTCTACTCTCTGTCCCCAGCTGAGACTTCCCCAAGGAAATTCTGGTTCTTGCAGGAATCCTGGCACCTGCCCCCAGTTTTCCTCCTTCCACATTTTCCTGACTCCAGCTGGATGGAGGTCTCACGTCAAGACCATGGCATAGGGGAAGAAATGGTTTCGCAGCCAGCTGGCCCAGTGAGCAGGTGGGAAGGCGTTGGACGAAATGGTCTGTGGAGTGCACAGAGGAGAGCAAGAGGCTGCTGGCTTTATCATCATCTGTGGTGACGGTGGTTTGCGTTCCCGAGGTGTCAGGCTCACCTGGATGTAATTTGTTGTTTGCTCCTGGATATAATTCACTGTAGCAATCAAATGAGGAAGGAGCAGTGAGTTTGAAGCTCTCTGGGCATATCTGTGCACCTCAGGACAGCATTTGGTGGTCACTGGGCTGGGACGTGTTTTCCCTTCACAGTGGTGGTTGCTGTGTATTTCTTTGCTGGACTTGGACAGTGGTCTCAGCTCAGCATCTGCTCATCTCTCTGAGGCCCCTGTGCTGTTGGTCTGTGGCAGCATTTTCCAGATGACTTCTCAGCAGCGTCAGGCCAGTCTCTGTTACTCCCTGGGACTGTGAACACCCCTGTTCCAGCCCCTTGGCTCCACCAGAGCCGTCCTCCCTCTGAAAGCACCGGTGTCCACCAAGAAGGCCGCACTGGATCTCCAGTGCGACCACAGCTGTCCCCACCTGTCCCTGCTGACACCCTGGTGAGAAGCTGCTCACCCGGCAAGCCTGGCTGCCAGGTGGGGCCTGGACCAGGGCCCCTCCCAGGGGACA